CATAGAATTCAGTGGAATCCCACGGAACTCCCCAAGAGTGATGGGAACGCCCCAGGGCTAGTACTAAGGGCATCCAAACAGTAAGCAACAGACATTGACTCCGACGTAGAAGAATGGATGAAGAGTGATTCCAGAATCCAACACCAGAACAAGTCCAACAACCCTACAGTCTGAAGGCACGGCACCAGCAGTGGATACTAATGATCCGATGAATCCTCGCTGGATCGCCATGCCAAGGCTTCCTAAGCATTCCCTTCTGAGTGAATTAGACCCTCAGCCGCTCGGATTGCTACAGCCGTAGCAAAGAAAGGAGTGACTTTCGTCCAAGATGACGAAGCTAAGAAACCACTACTGTATTAGACAGAGACAAGCAAACTTCTAGCTTTGTTCATGGAATACTGTAATCACAGGAGTGCCACAGCAGAAGTCCAGGATGAGAGCAGCCACGCCATCAACAACATCCTTCACCAAGGGCTGAAAGTGTGGGGCAACACAGCCAGAGAGGCGGCGCTCAAAGATATGGACCAGCTACACAGCGGAGTGTGTTTCAGTCCAGTCGCCCCAAACAAATGCAGTGATTCTGAATTGAAAAAGGCACAATTGGCACTCATGTTTGTGAGTGAGAAAAAGGGATGGCACGGTCAAGGCCCGTGCAGTCTACAATGGGGAACCTACCAGGGTGTACAATCAGAAAGAAGATGCCAGAAGTCCAACAGTTTCGCTTGAGGGTTTGATGTTATCCATGTGTGTCGATGCATCTGAAGATACGGGATTGTATGTCCCTGGATGTTCCCCATGCGTTCATCCAAACCCAATGCCAGAAGTCAAACCAGGTGAAGAAAGGGTCCTCATGATCATTGAGGGAACGCTTGCAGACTTATTTGTCGAAATTGATTCTGAAACATATGCCTCTTTCCTGACATACAAAGAGGGACGTCCTGTCCTCTATGTTGTCGTGGAGATAGCCATTTATGGGATGGTTTTGGCAGCACTGGTTTGGTACAAGCTCTTCAGGGGTGACCTGGAGGGAATCGGATTCGTATTCAACCAGTACGATCCGTGGTTTGCCAACAGGATGATTGAAGGATTTCAGCAGACGATACGCTTCCATGTGGACGACCTGATGTCGAGCCACCGGATGAACCTGGTAAACAATCGAACCCTTGAGTGGTTCAATGACAAGTACGCTACCTATGGAGCCGTGAAAGCAAACCGTGGTCCCAAGAATGAATACTTGGGGATGAAGGTGGACTTTTCAGATCCAGGCAAGGTAGTCATTGACATGTTTGACTATCTTAAGAAGATGTTCTTGGAGTTCCCGGTGGTCTTCGAGCAAATGAAGAATGTGCCCAGCGCGGCACCTCCCGATTTATTCAGTTCTGATGATGGAGCTGCTTTGGATGACAAGACCAGAGAAATCTATCAACCCAACGCAGCATTAGCTGTTGTTTCGCGTGATAAGAAGCAAGACCAGATTCGATCTCACGTTCGGACACTGACAATTGTTCTTTGCACACGTGTGAGGAATTCCACAGTTGATGACTGGGGCAAGTTGATCCAAGGTTTGAAGTTCCTGGACCAAACAGTGGAGGACAAGTTGATATTCCACGTTGATGATATCCTTGTCATCACTTGTTGGGTGGACGCATCATTTACAGTCCATCCTGATTACCGCTCATACACAGGAGTCTATGTCCTTTTGCGAGAGGAGCGGTGTTTCTGTTTCCGCGAAACAGAAGCTCCACTCAAGAAGCAGCACTGCAGCGGAATTGATTGGAGCAGACGATGTTATGTCGCCCAAGTTGTGGGCAAAGTTGTTACATGAAGAGCAGGGGATAGTCGTGAAGGACAACAATTGCCTTATGCAGGAAAACAAAAGCATGATCATTCTTGAAGAGAATGGGAAAGGCAGTTCGGGCAAAAGAACTCGGGCTATTAACATTCGTTTCTTTTTTATTCATGACAAGATTGGAAAAGGCAACCTTTAGAGTTGTGTACTGCCCAACCTTGGAGGTGCGTGGAGATTTTTTCACGATGCACCTTCAGGGCAAGCTATTTCACGAGCACAGGGCTTTAATCATGGGGCATCAACCCCTTGTTTGATTGCCTAATTTATTTTATTCGTTTCCACGGTAGCCACTTTAGGGCACGCGTGCAGGAGTGTGTTCGGAGGAACTATACCTGACACCTCTTATACTATTGACCGTGTATTAATCTCTAGTCGGTTGCATGATATTATATGTAAGGAACCAGGGAGTTTAGGTCTAAAGTGTTACGGGGGTCCTTAACTCCATTATCCAGATTGCTATGCACCACAGAAAATCCCTTTTGCTTTCATCTTATCCAAACCAATACTCCCCAATAAGCTGCATATTACTAGCTAACACTAGTTGAGCAGCTTCTAAGCAATCATCTAATTTGCAGTAGTTTCATCAGTTGCAAACAATTCTTGTTTATAGTTAGTGAGATATTTCATCACTTATTTATGAGAATCGGAACATGGTTCCGTTGAGTCATCATCATCTGGCCTAATCCTCAGATAGAGATTTCTCATCAAGTGATTGAAATTGATGAGGAGTTGTCCTCATTGTCAGAGTCTTCTTGATTTGCGCTTCGCAACATGGTTGCGAAGTTTGCAAGTGGTTGCACGAGTATCGCGATCTCTGTTTCTTCGTCATTGTCGAGAGGGAAGAATGGGTTTGCACGCAACTGTTTCTCGAAGTTCCGAACGCATGCTTTCCTTGAGCCATCTTCATGGTGAAGAGATAGGTTGAGGGTAGCTGAAAGCTATTGTGTTTGTTAACAAAAATGCACTACGTAAAAGCTAGTGTAAAGATCTTTCGAGTGTTTTGAGTTTTGAGTTTGAGAGAATGAAAGTTATGAGAGGATTAGAAAGCTATGAAAACTAATCAACGAGAGAGATCACAATTAAGGGATCGTAGATCTGAACTCCCGCGGGAGACTGTAAAGTGTGATAGAGTAGGTTGTGGTAGTAATCCTACTCGTTCCACGATCCAAAAACGGAACGCGTGGAAGATTCGTCTAGTAATCCTACTCGTTTCACGATCCAAAAACGGAACGCGTGGAAGATTCGTCTAGCATTTATCTAGTAGCGTGGAATCTCTCCACGCCAGCTAAATATCTAGCGCGATGTTTCACCATCGACCTAGTATGACTAGCGGTCATGAGAACCCTGTCTCAATGACTATTCACGAGAGACTCAGTCATGAGTCGAACTCAAACCCTATCTAGGATCGAGTCGCGAATAAGGCTAAGAGCCGTGTATTGCAAGAGAGCTTCATCTTCTTTTTTCAACAGCGCGAGAGTTACTTTTGCGCTTCCTGCCTTCACAGCTTTTGTCAAGACTTCTCTTTTAGCGCTTGTCGTGCTACTCTGCGGCAAAAATGCGGACAGATGCAAAAATGAGGAAAACCTCTGGAACGCCTTGGAACCAAATAGGAATTCCAACCTGAATGTTCCTGGAAGCATGACTGGAGGATGACTTTGTGATCCAAAAGCCACCAACTTCTGGTTACCAGATCTCAGTCAATATCCAACCAATTGGCCTAGTTGTTGAATGTTATTTGTCAGCACTGATGTTGTTTTGAATGACATTGTCTTACTTTGTTGAGATAGTGTAGATGTTAGTGTCATATTGGGTGTTTACTAGCAGTGCTCATTTTTGCACCAAATATTTCTAAATGTAAGGGTATAAATGCTACAATGTGTCCTAATGTCAAGGTGTAAATGCTGACTGGTCTTCACCCTGCTAGCTGATGTTAGGTTGCCTGGTTTCTTAAAACTAAGTAGTAAATGAGGACAGTCCGCATTTGCCTCTGGAGTAGCTTGTGGATGGCCGAGCTTGGAAGAACCCTCTGCAAAAGATACTTGGTGGGTACCGGTACCGGTACCGGTGGCCAAATACAGTGACATGGAAACTTTGAACGTACCATACTGTACACGTACCGTACTACTCGCAGTCTAGCTAGTAGCTAGCTAGTAGAAGGTTCTTTTGTCCGTGGAGCCCCCATTTGTCGACTGCCATGTGCGTGGCTTTCTAGCCTCGCTGGCTGGCCATTATGCATACACGCGGGGTCCCAAGTCCCGGATCCCAACCTGCTTCTCGGAAGGGCTTGACGTCTGAGACCCCAGTCACAGTTGGCTGACTTGGCAAAACATTCGTTTTCTGCTATTAGGGTGAGGGATACGGGTAGCAGAGTCACTCAGCCGTTCGTGCCAGCAATGCGTTCGTGCCGAACCCTTGGGCGCAACGGAACCTTTCTTCTTCCCTCCTCTCAAAAACAATTCTTGCTTGTCTTTTTTTCCTCGACCCAGTGACAATGAGCCACTAAATCTTTGACATTACTACTATCTATCGAGGCAGCTTTACACCTTTGCTTGCTATCCTATCCTCCGATTCGAGGCCACCATGGACATTCTTCTATTGGGAGGCGCCGTCGTCTTGTCGGTTTCGATTCTGCGTCCGTCTCCGTTGTGTCATCAATATCTTCACCTCCAAGAAGAGCAGACCAAGGGATTCCGCCCTCTTTCGATCACACTTGGATTGTCTTCCTGCCTCTTTGCATTGAGCGTCTTGGAAGCGACTCCTTCTTCCTGGCTGTTATTGCTGGACAACCAGGTTGTGGACACGACGGATGATGGAAGCTCGAAGGATGGACCCGACAATGAATATTTGACGCTGACCTTTCTCTATTTCGTCATTTTGACGGCACTTTCCATCTACATTCTGGTGGTCTGCCCTTGCATGGCGGGAGCGCTGGTACTCGAGCGAGTCATTCTTCGACCCGATTGCAATCTACTCTGTGGTTGTCTCGCGGGAAACAAAAGACCTTGGTGGCTCAAATTGGCAACGGGATTCACTTCGATTGCCATTCATTTGCTCTCTTGGGTCTACAAAACAATCTTCTTTTTCCTCACTCTGGGATTCCTAATCCTTCAGGCTTGCTGGAGATTGTGCTTTCCGCCATCTGCCATGGCAGTATCTTCTCGTGACAACACCAGTGGTATGACCCTTCCCATTTCCAAAATTGATACAGATGCCAATGGTACCAGCACACACAACAATTCTCGACTGGCAGCATTGGGGTGTTTGGTGAAGGGGTTTTACGAGCTCTTGCTCCTCCGTGGCGGAACCTGTTTGGTCGGTTGTCTGCTGGGAATCACAATCACAATTGCATGTCTGCATTCCATTGCCCCATTCATCATCGAACCCATTTCAGTGGGCAACAATTTGGCGCTGTCTCTTTCTTGGATGTGTGCCATTGGAATTGTAGTCTCGGCATGTCTAAATGGCTTTGGCTCTGTCTCGATGCCCCATTCGTGTCTAGCAGGTCTGTATTTAGATCCCATCCGACCCGAGGCTGTCACAAAAGCAGCAGTGGACCTGCAGAAGACACAGGAATCGCTTCAGACGCGAAAGGAACAGCTTCGAGATATGCGTATGCAGCGAGTGTCACCCAAAACTGGAACCGCAACCTCCAACTCCAAGACATCCAAAACATCACCGACCTGGGCAACCATCACGGGATTGGGAAGCAAACGCAGTGTGAAACCAACCTTTTCGGGATTAGGGGAAGAACTGAAACAGCGCAGGAAAAAACTTTTGGAGGAGATTAGCTTTTTGGAGGCGTTGGTGGAAGAGATGAAAGAAGACATTGAAGATATGCGATATACACAACAAATGGAAGCGGCTTCGAGAACGACCCTGGGGCGGGTCAAGTCGTGGGTGGGTGTGGTTTTTTCGGTGGTGCTTTTGATTCGACTCTACTTTGCGGCAACGTCGGTCAACACCATTTGGAAAAACGTGTATAGTGACGACACCGAGGGCACAACCACGGGCCCCTCGACCAAGAGAGATCCAGTCACGACAGCCTTGCTTTGGCTGTTAGGCCATCACATGGTCACTGAGAAGGAATACGACGACCTGTCTCAGTTTATTTCTCTCCTCTTGACGGCAGTCTTGAGTGTTTCTCAAGTTCGAACATTCCTCCGAACAGTGGCTGCCATGCATCGTCGATTCAACCAACTCTTCTGCCCAAGCAACAGGGGCATGAACGGCCGACAAACTCCGCGAAGCGATTCAGCTCTTGGTACAGTGGACGAAGGTCCTGTTCAGACTAGGACGGGGGTTTACATGCATATGCTTGCTGCGCTCATGGGTAGCTACTTTCTGGCTTGCATTGTACTGACCAAAGCAATGCTGCCCTGGCAATATCGAGCTTCTTTCTCCAGTGCTCTGGGTGGATTTGAGGCATTCACTATCCAGACCGACGTGATAAATGCCATGTTCGCCATGGCGGCGATTGTGAGTGGGTCGATTCTGGCCATGTTGTTTGGAATCCAGAAACAAAACGCAGTGAGGCACAACGTTACTTGGGTGGATGACTTGGGGAACCAAGGACGCGATTTAGATGTCTGATCACTGTACAGAGAGGGTGTTGGTCAGAAGGACCACAAAAATTTTGAAACCATTGTATTGAGCCGAAGCACATTGGTGTGGGCATGCACAACTACATGTATTTGGTAAACATAGACAACTTTGCACAAACATCGCTTGAATTCATCACACGTAGTAATAAATGGTGAATGGTGGATCTCTAGTGTGGAATGGAATGTACCGGTAGCACTACCATGTAGCTAGATAAACTGTCCAGGAACCCAAGGCTCAATGAACGCGACCTCTAACATGGTCTCTACCGGTAGCTGGGGCATTCAAAACCACTTTCCATGCAGTGCTGGTAAAACAACCGTGGCGTAGCTAGCTGCCCTTCTTGTTGTTTGACTCGTAAAGCTTTCGATCCCATTCTTTCAATGCTTCGTCGTTCATCAGCTCTAACAATGGTTCTGCCGAGGCTTTGTTTCCTGCTGTGGCACCCTTGCCATCACTCTTTTCCATTTCCGATACCCGGGACGACACAGCTTGCGAGATATCACCAAATGAATACGAGTCCTTGCCTGTAAACTTGGCCAAGGCACTTGAGAGTTGTTCCTTGCTCTTGTCTCCCAACTTGTAATTGGAATCGCCAGTGACGGCCTCCTTGAATCTTTCATCTAGTGACGTAGCAACTCCTCCCATAACTTTGGATCCAACATCTTGAGCCAAGCCAACGTTTAGAAGTTCCAGCAGAACCTTTACTGGAAGCAGTCGAGCAATGGGCGTGAAACTTGCTCCCATTTGCAAGAGTACTCTTTGTTTGACACAACATTTGGGGAAGTTGTCGGCAATGCAAAAAGTTGCATTTCATCCTGAGTCGACTGGCTTGCTGAGGTGATTGTCAATAATAATTGGAATTGAACTTACCGAATCATCAATACCACATTTTCCAAATCATATTCTCCTGCCCAAACTTTGCGTACTACTTCCTTGGAAATATCTCCCACTTGATAGTTTGCTTTGCCCGTAAAATTGGCCGCTTTTTCCTTGACCTGAGAATCAGCCCACCGACTGAGGTCTCCAAATTTGTATCCCTGTTTCCCAGTGAGCTTGCTAACATCATCTTTCGCTCGTTTGTCCAATCTCTTGGATATGTCTCCAAACTGAGAAGGATAGAATGCAATTTTTTAGTGTACATACATCATGTTAACGGTAGATTGACAAATGAATGAAATTATGGCATGATTTGACAGATTAGTCATCGAGAGGTGAGGCGAAGAAGTACAACTAGCTTCCACCCAGGTACGGCCGTACCGGTATATAGGTCGGCACTGTCGTCTCTGAATCCATTCTGCTTTTAATTAATATTTCCGTACCTGATAATTCTGATCTCCTGTCACTTTTCTCCCCAGTGCTCTGGTCAGGTCTCCAAATTTGTATCCACCCTTGCCATCGTCCTTCTTGGCTCCCAACACCAATCTTCCTCGGTGGAATTCAAAGCTACTTGGAGCGATCCAGGCATCAACCAAAACCACTATCGCTACTAGTATCAGAGTGCATAGTTGGGAGTATCGTCTTGTCATCTTGGTCGTGGTGGCTTGTTGTCGGTATGCAACACAAGCGCGAAAAGTTGGTTGCAGAATGATCAATCTGGATCCATTCTGGATCTTTGAAGGGGGATGGGCAAATGCTGCTATAGTGCTGTAGTGTACTCGATAAGATACCGTAGCAATGATAGTTTAGTTGTGAATTCCACATACAACTGTAGTACGTTGCAGTACAGTTTGTGCGAAAAGTATCCAATTTTTACTTTGGCTCTATGGTTTATGATTCGCATTGGATTGCATTGTTGATTGGATTCATTGAATTCAGTTTACTATACAAATAACGCCCACCTTCCCAGACAGGGAATTGAAGAGATCTACAGAACGGAGAGTATGAGTTAACAGGGAGCCGACCATAAGGAGACTGACGGACAGGAAACCAGGAG